CAAGGTTTCTGACTTGGGTGACCCAGTGGGCACAAGGGGAACCATTCACTCAGATAGTGAGGGGAAGAGCTTGGGGGAAGGTAGGATAGGGGTGAGGTGATAATGAGAGGTGATTAACAGATTTAACCAAGATCATGTGGAGATCAGCACATAAGAATCTGAATCAAGTGGCAGTAAAACCAATGTTATTTTGATCATCAACTCTAAAATCTAACAAAAAGAAAGTTCTTAAATTATGGGGAGAACAAGAGGAGTTCCCATGATTCTGGTCGGTTTTCATTATAAATGGTATGGTGAATAAGAAAAACACTTTGTAAACTATAAAAACATTACCTTTCACTATTATTATTATTATTATCATCATCATCATTACTTATTAGTATTTTTCCTTCCTTATTATCATCATCATCATTACTTATTAGTATTTTTCCTTCCTTATATAGGGTTCAAACCACCCAAATGGCCCCTTTTACCTTCACCTCCGTGGAAAATTTTTCCTCTTTTACTCTTTTTTTCACCTCCCCATCCTCCACTTCAAGGTTCAGTGGCAGGTAATTTGGGTGGAATTAAGTGGTTTTGTCTGCTTTCATCAATCAGTGAACAAGTATTTATTAGGTGTACACCCAAGCTCTATATGAGTGTCATTACAATCCAGGGGACACGTTCTTTGGGGTCAGATAATTCTCAATTTAAATCCTGCTGCATTTACCAGCTGCATGCCCTTGGGTATAATCTGCTCACCTCTCTGCTCTTCACTTTCCATCAGAAAAAATAAAATGGATAATACTTCACAGGACTGCTGTATTACATGAGATAATAAATGTGAAAGAAAGTCACAGAGAGCCTAGTGCACAGTAAATGTAGTTTCTGTCCATCTCATCTGGCTGTTGTCCAGGATAAATGAGCTCAAAAGACCATTATGATTTCCTTGGAATAATTCTGCTATAAAGTTCAGTCATTTTTAATGAACTTTGCTGCTAGTGTTTCTGGAGCTTGCAGTAACCATGTCTACAGGCGTTTGAGCAGCACTTGAACGTATCTTCATTATTGTTATTTTTGAGTTCCCTTATTTTTTTGTTGCAGCTTGGGAGTCATTTCTTTCTTTGCATAGTGCTGCTTTGGAGAAACAGCCAGATGTCTTTACAATTTGTCGGTTCTGGCCTTGTACTCTATTATTTAGATACCGTGTTTTGTTCAGCTAAGATACCGTTTCTATTAAACCTTTAATAGTCTGGAGAAACCATAATCGTGCTGTGCTTGGCATGCAAAATGGAAAACATGAGAGATTAAAAACTGGAGAAGAAGGAGGGTTTAAATGTCACTGTAGGTCTTTAACCTTTTTTTTTTTTTAATAAAAAGAAATAATAAACTTTTAAAAAACTTTAATTTTATTTAAATTGCCTATTACCAGTATGATTGCTCTGATGAAAGATTATTAAAATATCCATTAAAGCTGGCGTAGCTAAAGGGAAAGGAATTAGAGATTGGAGGAGCAGTTAGCCTTCTCTCGAGTTTAACAACATTGTCCATAAAGATTGGATGGTGGGGCTTCTCTTTGGCTTATATTCTTAGACCAAGGGCAATAACTCCCAGCTTTTAAGACTCCATCCTGGCAGATGCTCGAGCACTTCATGATGTTGTAGAAAACCAGAGGCATCTTGAATGTTAAATTAACCAAGCATCTTTGGTTTTCCCTGAGCAAGGGTTATTCAGGGGCTGCTATGATATTGTCTCCTAGCACATAGTCTGAGACTGATTACAAAATGGAATGAGATTTCACTTCTTGTGTCCTAGAGAAGCTCATTAGAAACTGCTGGCTTGGCTTCCTCATTTCTCAAAAATTCCAAGAGATTTCAGCCTAACAAGATAGTGTTAACTTTTTGTTTTTGTTTTTGGTAATTGTGCCATCTTGTTTTGAACAGAAAATATAACGTTAGCATTCTAATGCTAACAGGAGTTTCCATTAAAAGTTGTTTATATTAAAAATGGACTTATGTTTTTCACAATCCAATTATACTATTAATGATAACTACATTTATTTTTTCTTTTCCTCTTTAAAATGATAAAGGACGAATTTATCAGCCTCCTGAAGATATTAATTATGCTTCATTTTTGTAAAGTGCCCAAATGTTCATAAAGTTCTATCCCACAGTGTCTTACTCAAGGCTCGTGTCATAACAACCCTGTGAGATAGACATTATCTTCATTTTAGAGATAACGGTGCCAAAATTCAGAAAGTTTCAATTACAAAGCTAAACCAAAATGTGACTCAAGGTCTTTGACTCCCAATCCAGTGGTCTTTGCACTTCACCATGGACAACTCATTCATATTAGTTGAGATCTCAAAGAAAAATTTTAGCTCTCCTCAGTGTGAGAGTAGACGTGAGGATGCTTTGGAGAGTGTAATGGGCCTGCCCTAAGTAGAGGAGGGAGTATAGGGAGTTAAGTCAGCCATACAAACAAAAGGTTGGAGAAATGAGGCCCCCCAAGGAAAGGAACCCCCAGTGGGTGTATTAAGGCATCTCAGACCTAAAGAAGATCTGGATGGCAGTAGCAGCTTATTCCACAGAGAAAAACCTCCATGGTAATACCTGGACTTACCATAAAGAGAGAGTCTATAGGTGGAGTACTGGAGCCTTTGAGAAGGAAAGGTCCTCAGTGGCAGTAGAAAAGATAATGACCTCATGTTCAGTCAGGTTCAGTAGCTACTGTTTACCAGATGACATATGCGTTGCAGTAGAGGGCTTGATAGCTTTGTTGTGATATTCTCCTAAACACTGGGCTACTTCCTCAGCAGCCTTCACATCCTCAGTCATTTTTTTCTTCTTTTTCCTGCCTGCCAGCCTTGAGCAGAGTTCAGCCATGTGGTCACTTCATAGCTCACACACCCTGTATGCAAATGTCTCCCAAGTGTTATCCCTAAGCCTAGCTATTACCCTTCGAGTCCTGTAGTTATGAACCTGACCCATTACTCCCCAATGGGCCTGACCCATTACTACCCAGCAATGGGAAGTGTATTAGGATTTTTTCCCCCAAATTCCACATCCACCAGGATCACCCTCCCCAGGAAGATATTAATAGGTTCTGGGAGTCTTGAAGGAGGAGATGTAGGAAAAACATTCCGGGCCAGTGAGGAAGCTGACAAAAGCATAGAGATGAGAGTGAAAGAGTATGTGTCCAGCCACACCAGCCTTCCGTCCCTTCTCCAACTAGCTGAGCATTTTCCCTCCTCAGTATTTTTGTGCCCACTGGTTCCTCTGCCTGAAACCCACTTTGCCCTGCTCCTGCCCTGCTGGCTTCTCATACTCCAGGTGTCAGCCCAAGTGTCACTTCTTCAGGAAGGACTGAAGTAGGTTCCTCCTGTTATTCTTTCTCACTGTATCCTGTAATTTTCCTTTGTTATTACAATTTGTAAGTATCTGTGAATCCTATGTTTTCTGGTTTAATATCTGTCTTCTCTGCTAGACCATAGACTCCCATGTTGGTCATTATCTCTGTAGTACACAGTACAGAATCTAGCACAGAGGCATGTTCCATAAATATTTGTTGACTGTGTGTTGGATGAATGCTGCTCTTATCTCTTCCTTTTGAGATGCCCTCCTACAGTTTCCTTACCAAATCCTGGACTACATTCCACAAAAAAAGCATCCCCATGGAGCCCACATCCCTGACCATTTCCTTCATTTTCCTTCCCCAATATTTATTCATACATTATCATGAATTTGGTTGTGTTCTCTGGTTGTTTCACAATTCCCTAATCACATTCTTAGTTTTCCAAGAGCTAAAACTCTTTCAGGATCTTTTTTGGAATCCCCATAAATCTACTAGAATAGCTGGAAATGCTGTCGGTGCTCAGTAATTTCTTGATGATTGAATGAATAGTTCAATCAGTCAATCCTAGTATATCCCTTTTGCACAGAGAAAATCTTCACATAGAAAATATGGAGATACCATTGCAGCAAAGCAATTTCTAACCATGACCCATTGCTGTAGTTCCTCTTCTTGGGTTACTATTTTGAGTTTCAATAGGAAGCAAACAATCTTATCTTGAAAGAGGGCTTGGATTTATTTTAAATAAGAAAAGCTGAATTGGAAGCTTGTATTTTTTTCCCCCAAATTTAATAACAGCACTAGTAAAGTCTTACACTCCTCAGCTTGCCTTATTTCAGGTGTAAGAGTACAAAGCTTCCAGGTAAGCTTCTGTCATGATGTAAGGCGAGACCCCTATCACCAAACCTGTTTAAATTTATTGAGAGCCAGGAGGGGTCACATAGCAGGGGCATCTAGTCTGAGCATATTTTCAGAATCAGTCAGTCCAATCCAACACTGGGCAGAGGAGATGAAGGGAGACATCAGTTACTTGGAGCCACTGTCTTCAAACATTTGAGGTCCTGGTAGCTACCACTGATAACCTCGGTAAGTAAGGAAATAGCTTTTGATCTTGCTCCATTCCTCCATTCACAATGAGAACAAAATAAAACAAAAAACAGGTAAGTAAAATATGTCAGTGTTATATTCCAATTGATGACTTACTGAAGTGGGGTTTCAGTTTCTACATTCATTCTGTTATGCTGAAGCAGAACCTTCAGCTTACTGGTTGCCCTGCTGGTAAACCTCAGGCCGGTCAGTTGCTCATTTTATCAGTATTCTTTGAATGACTAACAACAATAAATATATATACATGTATGTACATATATATATAATATACATGGTACAATATATGCATTTAATTTACTTTGACAATTGCCTAGCAGGCTCTGTCTAGTGTCTTCCCCCTAGTTTAGTATTTGATCTTATAACACAGGCCAGGAAAAGGAAGGTAAGTTTTGCTAAATACCTGTGACACCATGAACATTGTCAGGGTTGGTAAGAGGTCTGTTCCTCATGCAGCATCATTCAGTCACCTGTATTCCGACCTCTGCTTGGCTTTGTGACAATCAACAGAGCCTATAAGAAATGACTGCTGATGAGTCCCCTTCTATCTTATCCCCGTCTCTCAGGCTGCAGAAGTCCTGAAGGTTGATGGAGGGCCATGCTATTCAAACAGCAGGCGTGGCTGAGACAGAAGCTCCTGGTGCTGGGAAGCCTTGCCGTTGGGAGTCTCCTGTATCTAGTCGCCAGAGTTGGGAGCTTGGATAGGTAGGTGATTAAACACATGTTTATGCCCGTGCGACTAAGTGTCTCTTGATTTAAACTTCCTTCAGACATAATTTTAAATCTATCCATTTGTTTTCCTCCCTCAAAATTCCCTAGAAACATGCTTTTCTGCAGTATTGATTTTGATTTATTGAGCCTTTAAAAGAAAGAGATCCAAGTTGCTCAAACCAAGATGTTCCTCAAGATCCATTTGTATTCTGTCTGCATGGACATTTGTTTTCAGAGAAGAGATAAAGCCACATACAGTAAAAATGTCATTTACTAGAGCTCAGTGTGGTCTGTGTGCACGTGGTTGTTGACCTCTAGCCACAGCAAAATAGTGATGATGTATTTATGTATCTTCATTTTGAAATTTATGAGTGAGCAATTAATGTGCTACCAGGAGAGTTAAAATTATGTATGAGCCTGTAAAGGAGCTCATCAAGTTTGGAATCCATTGCCCTGGAAAGATAGCTACAGGCTTGGGGAGTTTTAACTATGTTAATTAGCTCTGGTTTCCAAGAGCTGAACGTACCAGACAAGGAGGCTGTCGCTCAGAGTAATTGCCCAGAAAGCAATGGAAAATCTATGGAGAGGAAATTTACAGAGCTGGGCTTTGGATCTAAATAAGCAAACAGTTGAGAGGTACTAGACGTGCAGAAGTCTCAGCAATATCAGCTAGCTTCACACTGAATACCTCTGGACTCTCCCACATCCCATATGATTGGAAAGGACAAAAAAGTTAATTTCTGAAATGCAAAGCTTCCTTCTTTGCCCTTTAAAATTAATTCTTGCACTGGAAAGACTGAAGTATGTTCTCCATGAATTCAATTCCCATTTTCCGTGAAAATGCAGCCACACTTTAACATGAAAATATCTTCCTTACAGTTTTCCTTTTCTAATCTGTAGACTGTATCACTTGGATATTTAACAATTAAGATAGCAGTGGTCCTTGTTTTCCTTCAGCCAGGGTCAATTTTGACAGGTAAATGGAACCCCTGTGATGCTTTCCAATTCAAAATTCCTGAGTCAACTTCCCACTCACTAGTTGCTAACTACAGGAAATAGTATAATCCAGGGCTTTTCATTGACCTCATGTGGTTCCCTAACTTAGCGCTTAGTTATTATTGAAAAGCCTTGAGGTGGTACCATTGTCTTATGGCCATAACGGAACTTTTACATCAAGTTCTACCCAATACCTTTCATTAGCTTCCAATCATTTGCTTTTTAGGTGAGTAATTGATCTAATGATCCTTAATGCATTAGTTATTTAGTTAGTGAGTGTATATTTAAGCCAATCTCCAATCTCTAATGGGATAGCTTTCGTAATGAATTGGATTGCTTGATGGACTTTCACAAAACCTCTCACTTGAGAGTTTGAGCAGATTATGTCTGAAATGACAGGTGCTTACTTAGGTCTGTCCTTTAGTACCTGGAGACCCTGCTCTCTGAGTGGGAGGCTGAGCTCAGTCACTCCTACTGTCCCTTCCAATTCTGAGATTCTGTGTTTTTTAGTCTGGGGCCCCTGCTCAGAATCTACTCTTCAGGAAGTGGAAATAATGTGATATTTTCTCCTGTCTTGAGTTAGGGAGTTCAAAAAGCAATTGTTCTGCAGGGTCTGAGTTCCCAGGGTAGAAGGTAGAAAGAGGAAGGAAGGAAAGAAGGAAAATGAGGTAGGGAAATTCCATTCCAGATCAAACAGGGCAGATGCTGTCTGTTTCAGCCTCTCTCAGCCGGGGTTCTGCAGGAGAATTAAGTCTTACAGAAAAGGATTTGATTGACTGTTTCCTCAATTCTCCCAAGAATGGCACTAGCATCATTCTAGATGCAAGGAGAGAAGTCCATCAGTTACCGTCAATGGAAGGCTTAGGGAATTAGGGCTTAATTCTCAACCAGAACCAAAGAAGAGCTGAAAGATGAATTTGTGATACCCCAATCAATGTCACAATTAAAACGTCTTTGACTATGTATATGTTGATTCTTTTATATCTTTCATTTAGAGCTCTAGCATATTAATCCTGTTAACAAATTTAGTTTCTCTAAAATATTAACTGTGGTAAACTCTGTTTTTTTTAGTATTGCATATTTCCACGTTATCCACAAAGAGCATGAATTTTTTAAAATCATAGAAAACAAACACCAGAAAAAAGTAAAATATGTTTATATTTTTACTTAAGCATTACGATAGACAGCTGTTTAAACAGAGCACAGGCCAAGCCCTTTCCCCTCAGTTCTGCAGAATGCCTTGACATGACCTTGAGGTTATTCCCTTCTCCCTTTAGTTATGAACATTACAGAAGATGAGAAAGGTACGATAGGGTCTCTTGGGAAAAGCAAGCAACAGCCTCATTACCAAAGAGAGGGAGACACAGACTCCAAAGTATTAGGATAACTAGATGCTTCAGTTGGAGGAATTGGTTTAACGGCCATTTTGACTAATATTATACCCTTTTACCAAGAAGGCTAAAATGCTTTCTCAGATTAACTTATGGAAATTGTAATGAACTTCAGTTCAGTTCCAGACTACACCCAAAAGGAAACTCAATCTACTAACCATACATATTGGCCATGCCAAATTAAATAGTCACTCCAGCCTAACATCACCGTGACTGTTACCACATCTTTCTCTCTGAGAAAAGCAGAGGTGGTTGTTCATTATTTAGGGCAATGTTAACGTGGAAATCTTTCTTTCTGGCTCCAAACATTGCATTCCTTCCTTCATAAGCTCAAGTCCCTGAAATAAATGGGCTTGGCAATGAGGAGCTGAGGTTTCTGGCCCTGCCAAGGTCTTGTTGATTTCTGATCCCAGGTGTGGTAGCTGATATACAGCACTTGCTGATAGCAGTTGGGTTTGTTCCTGCATTCACCAAAGTGAAAACATAATCCTGACCTCTTTCAATAGAGAGAAAGAAAGGCAGAAGAAATATAGTACTCTCCTAGCTGTCCCCAAATCAAGGGCAGAAGTTCTCACAGAATGAAAAGCTCACCAAGAGCCAACACTGGAATTTTGCAGGTTGCTGATGCAAATAGCCAAGGGCAGAGACTGAGACCTGTTTTCAGATTCTCTCTCAAAGATTTTTAAGAGCCATGTGAGTGCTGCTGAACTGCAAGGAAATAATACCATGCGAAACCCAGAAGACATGGCCTCCTCACCGCTCTTCAGCCTCACAGCTGAAGATTATAATCTTCCTCCTTTCACGTTTTCTAAATGATGTTAACTGGTGAGCTGTTAAAAGGCTATTAGTATGGCTGATGTCACTTGTCTGTCCTGTACCGTGAATATAAGTACACGCTGTAGTCAATTAAGTGCTTGGTGAATAAAAATTTTAAGAAGCACTAATAAAAAAACTCATCAATTATGTGTGCTCCATTTAATAAAGGGTAGCTTAAAATAAAATTTCCCAAACATATGTTCATATGGATTGAAGCAGGCTGGGAACCAGTGGTTTTATTAATGTATTTATAGTCTTAGTCTGACTGAAACCAGAAAAATGAGAAGTTAGTGGCAATGAACTTCTTAAACCATCTCTCTGTTGTTTGCAGGCTACAACCCATTTGCCCCATTGAAGGCCGATTCGGAGCCCGCAGTCAGGCTGAATTCCCTCTCCGAGCCCTGCAGTTTAAGCGTGGCCTGCTGCACGAGTTCCGGAAGGGCAACACTTCCAAGGAGCAGGTTCGCCTTCATGACCTGGTCCAGCAACTCCCCAAGGCCATTATCATTGGGGTGAGGAAAGGAGGCACAAGAGCCCTGCTTGAGATGCTGAACCTCCACCCGGCAGTGGTCAAAGCCTCCCAAGAAATCCACTTTTTTGACAATGATGAGAATTATGCCAAGGGCATTGAGTGGTATAGGAAAAAGATGCCTTTTTCCTACCCTCAGCAAATCACAATTGAAAAAAGCCCAGCATATTTTATCACAGAGGAGGTTCCAGAAAGGATTTACAAAATGAACTCATCCATCAAGTTGTTGATCATTGTCAGGGAGCCCACCACAAGAGCTATTTCTGATTATACTCAGGTGCTGGAGGGGAAGGAGAGGAAGAACAAAACTTATTACAAGTTTGAGAAGCTGGCGATAGACCCTAATACCTGCGAAGTGAACACAAAATACAAGGCAGTGAGAACCAGCATCTACACCAAACATCTGGAAAGGTGGTTGAAATACTTTCCAATTGAGCAATTTCACATTGTCGATGGAGATCGCCTCATCTCGGAACCTCTACCAGAACTTCAGCTCGTGGAGAAGTTCCTGAATCTTCCCCCAAGAATAAGTCAGTACAATTTATATTTCAATGCTACCAGAGGGTTTTACTGCTTGCGATTTAACATTATCTTTAATAAGTGCCTGGCGGGCAGCAAGGGGCGCATTCATCCAGAGGTTGATCCCTCTGTCATTACCAAATTGCGCAAATTCTTTCATCCTTTTAATCAAAAATTTTACCAGATCACTGGAAGGACATTGAACTGGCCCTAAAATAATAAGTCATACGACGCTATGTGTTGTGCCTGGAGACATACAATGTCTCCTCTAGATTAAAATATGCACTTTTCCTAGACACAACTATCCAAGTCATTTTTCCATGTATACTTGTACATATGCAGTGTGTGGCCAAATATAAGATCAGTTCTTTTTCTACTGAAAATTTACAAAAAACAATTTGCTGTCTGCGTAGTTGCATCTTTTAAGCTATTTACAAAAAGAAGAGGTGGTGGTCTTACGGGAAAGTGACTTCAGCTGTTCTCAAGGAGTTAGTCTTCCTTTGAGTCAGAATTTGTGGCCCGCCATTTTCATAGATTTAAGCCAAAAGAGTAATGCGTGAAAATGTACCAATGACTGTGAAGCTTCAGGATTCAGTTATGCATTCTTTTCTAAGGGAAAGCTGGGTCTTTAATTCAGATGCTGAATTGGTGACATGAAAACAGAAAATGCTATTTTCTTAATATTTAAAAGAAGAATGTCTTATGTCATGAAACTGACGTTGTTCCAAAGTTCCCGTGGTGATTTTGCACTATTGTTTTCTTGTATGGACCATGGTGTCGCTTGTAGCATGTCAATCACACATTGGAAAGTCAAGTCCTTTTACTTCCATGTTCTATGTCAACAAAGAGAAATGTCATGTACATAATGTATATTGTTGTAAATACTGGTTTCACACTAAGTAATTCTATTTTGTAAACTGAATATGGCTATTTAATTTATTGTGAAAATTAAATTTATTGTGGTATTTAAAAATGGAATGGATTAAAATTACTCTACGTGCAACCTTTTTTTTTTTTTACTCATTTTGTTTTACATGCCCCTTGCTGGCTCCCCAAATCGAAGCTGTTTATGTGCATACGAGAGCACTCGGAAAGATGTGCTTCTCCATTGGATCTCTGTACCCTTGTGAAACTCTATTTATGAAGTAAGGTTGAGTATATTAAGAAAAAAAATCTCAACCATCTGGAAATCGAGAGTAATAGCCACCTCAAAGAGCACTAGGGCTGTTCTGCTACAACTTTGTAACAATTAATTTTCTTGCTGTGCCGGGAGAGAGACAAGAAATACTTTAACATAATCAAGGCATAGAAGAATCGCAGTTTTATTTGAACTTCTAATCCGAGTCAGACCAGTAGAGAAATTAAATAAAGTAAGATTAGAAAACTTGTGTGGCCTCTGTCCTGAAAGCTGCTGATCCTTCAAAAATGAATACAAACGCTCAGAACTCCCTCTTTGAGATGAAATACATCAGTCTGCTCAAAAATGATCAAAATGCATAGTGTTGCCATTACTAACATAAACATATGGCTCATATGTCCATCTAGAGAAATTAATGCTAAATTCGGTGCTTGCTAACATCAGATACATTGTATTATGCTTAAATATAATTCAGAAAACCATGGAAAGAAGTATCAACCAAAAGAAAGTCGGGTTTTTCACAATCACGGTTGCTTATCCAGTGGAGGATGTTGGAGGGAGTTTTGTTCAACATCACATTGAGAGTGCTGAGAGAAATCAGCAAATTACAGTGGATTCCCTTTTGACTGTAATAAGTGTTGATTTTCTCCATGAGTTGTTTATCCTGTCCAGTGATTTGATGGTGAACTTTTCTAATAAATAGCCCTTTCCCCTCTGGTGTCGTATATATTGCTTCTCAAGCTACAGTCTTGGTAATCATCGCTACTGTTTCAATTAGCAGTGATTCTGTTCTCTCAGCATGGAACAGGCATGACACCAGCGCACACTGGCTTCTCACTCCCAGTGCAGTGACTCTGGAGTGAGTCTAAATGTCAGTCACTTGTCCCTTAAGCCATGAATGAAATCAAATATGAGGAATCTGGCATCAGATTTCCCCTTGCCTCAAACTTCAGCTAACCATCAGAGTAAACTCTTTGAGTACTACATTCGAGGACATAATCACGTTACCATTAATTTCATTATAACTATTCTTAGAGCGCTATACAGCTAATGCAGTTTTATACCACTGACTGTCAAATTATGCCCCATTGGAGCATTGATGTTTCAAAAACTTGGCCTAGGTATTCCACCAGTAAAATTGAAAAATGGCAAACTTTTCTTAGACTCAATGAGGAATTTTAAAAAATAATGACTAGAAATTCCTCAGTGATAATCTCTTATAGTCCAAATTCTTCTTAAACTTTGCTACTGCTACGAACAGTGTATACCAGAGTTTATTCTAAGATTCTATTTGACTTAAGCTGACTTTTTTATTCTTTGTTATTTTTAGCTCAATAAGCCAGTATTTCTTCATCACGTTCAGAAAGAAGTGCTGTGATTCCCAGTTGTTACACTTCCTAAGTTTGAGAATTGTTTTAAGCCTTGGAGCCTCCCCACAGACACCTGCAGGTCTGGCCTGGGAGGATGTTTTTGGAGGCAAGTTTTATTTCACTGAAAAAAAGCAGCCATAGTCACTGCTGGTTGAGCGAGTTAGAGAGCAATAAAAATGCGATGACTTAATAGCATACTTCCACTGGGGGTTTTAAACCCACTTGTTTAGAAAAATGTTTCCCGTTGTCATCAAACAAGCAGCGGACCTCTAGAGAACTCTTCAGCTCATTACAACAGTTCCAGGGCGCTCTCGAATGTTATTCCTTTTACATCATGAAAACTTTGCATTTCTTCCAGAGGCTTGGTGGCGCCATACGGCTTCGTGAAACAGTTCTAGCTGCAAAGAGAAAAAACTGGTTAAGCTGATGAAGTTCCTGCTGGACCCGAAAGCTGAAACTACACCATTTTGGAAGCCAAGGAATTCCAATCATAATATACAAACAGGAGCTAGAGTCCCAAGGGGTGGGAGAGGCTAGGGAACAGAGAGAAAAAGAGACATACAAACTCATAGACAGACATCCCAAATTCCAAGTCTGTCACCTACTCACCTGAAGTCACCTAATAGAAACCCTCAATTGATTAAGGTACTACCTTTCCTACTAATTGCACCGTAACATAGGAAAAATCTAAGACATTAGAATCCTTAGCTAATGTATGGTAAAGTGAAGGCATGTAAACCCCTCATAATCACATCTGATCTTAGATTTGGGACCTTTTATGTTGAGCGTCTAGCAAGAATAGTCATGAATTGCCAGTTCAGTTCCCACTAACGCCGATGGAGCCTCATGAGAGCACTGTTTGCGGGGTGCTGCGCCTGGTACAAGGGCCCGCTGGAGAACAAGCTCAGGGATCCATGGGGAGCATGCCCAGGGATGCTGAAGGCAAATTCCAGCCCTGCCAATAAGCTTTTGTTTTGTCCAGTGAGCAGTTTGCTAAATTGGATTGCCTTCATAAGCCTAATTTGAGAATTTACCAGGGATGGAGAATTTCAAATGATCATGAATAGTGTCTTCCTGCTGGAGTCTTTTGTACTCTTTTTGCACACTCAGCAGCTATCTTCCACTTAGGAGAACAGTCTACAGTCTAAGCAAAAAAGAAAACTTTGCTGAAAACATTCCCCCTAAAAATGACTAAATACAGCAAAATCTTAGCAATTTGGGCTAACAAGGTGAAAATATAGAATATTTTAAATCACATTCATTGCAATTATTACCAAGAAGATAAAGTGCCAAACTATACTGACAATACATTGAAAAATAAATATCTAATTGCACCTACTTTACTAAATAAAAGTCTCTGAATTGGCATGTTTTTTCTGAATTGGTGTTACTCAAGTGTTTCAAAAGAGTCTGTCCTCTTAATTAGGTTACTCAGGCCCGCTAGCATCTGTTTATCAATTTTTAGAGTAAATTTTTCTCTTATAGCTAGTGCAAGGATGAAATTTAGGCCAAAATATGATCATTTGGTAAGGTTCTAATAAATGGTGCCTTACCACACGTCTTACAAAAACAACTTCTTTCCTTCTTGTGCTTTTAAAGATTTCTTTCCAATTACATTTTATTGTACCTTTCAGGAATAAGAGTGCTATTTCATAATGATTAGAAATGGATTGGGGAGTTGAAAAGGCAGAACGGAACTGATAGCAATATGCATTCCCCATAGAAAGCACCTGATTGGTATTCCAAGAGCAAGTGTCTGTTATTTACAGGCAGCTCAGTTGAAAAGCAATACCCTCAGTCATATCAAGTAGGCAGCAGCATGCTTGGGGCCTTATCGGGCTAATTCCATCACTTCTAAATTTGTGAACCATATCAGTCTACTAGGTTTTGGGGAGCTGCTGTTGAAAGGGTTTATTGTTTCTAAACGTGCATATCATCCCCCTTTAAAAATAGTCCACCAAGAAGGTAAGCAGCTTCCAGGAGATTGCTAACATCATTTCAAAGAGCTGGCTCACCTCCAACATTTCTAAGTGCTCACAACTCTGCTTTGCATTTCCTTTTCTTTAACGACACCAGAGAACAATCTTTAAGGCCAACTGCAAAACTGCCTGTTTCTTAGGTAAGGCCACACTGAAACTCACCTAAAGGTTTGGACATAGAATATAAAAGAACTTATAACCGCTGCATGTCAGGTCATCTAACGCTAAGTCCTGGAACCAAATTTAATTCAAACTCTTTAAAGATGAGAACTTCTGGCAACACCAGATGACAGTGTCACCACAACAAGCAGAATAAATAATATGAATGGGTGAGTCAAAGTTCAGAAGACAGAGGAGGGAACAACTAACTCAGCCTGGAGGAGTCAGGGAAGGCTTCAATGAGGCGATGCTTGAACGAAGCAAAAGATCATCACATCTCAGCAGGTAGACAAGCAGGAAAAGTGCACCCCAGGATGAGGGAAACAGTAGATCAAAAGCATGAGATGTGAAAGAGACAAGGAATTCCAGTAAAGCTGGAGAGTAGATCGTATGTAAGAGAAGGTGGAAGATAGGAATGGAAACATACCAGAGCTTCTCAGGCCTTGAGCAAGTCCTACTTGGTTGGCATACCCTACCACACAAGACGAGGTGCCCCTGTTAGGTACCCAGGCCAGGCCTGCCTCTTTGGGTCTGCACCCAAGGAGCTGTTCCTTAGAAGCTAAGGGTTTAAGAATGGAAAAGAGATGATGAAATTAATATTCTGAAAGTTTTGTTTCAAACAGTTGGTGCCCATAGAATCAAAGTTTTCTTTCCCACTCTTCTTTACTCTTTGGTTCCCTCACTTCTTGTCTTCCTGGCAGTAGCTTTGCTCAGCTGATGGGATCCTCCATATCTGTCTCATTTTTGATTGAGGCAAAGATGTCTTTTCAAAGACAGTTCTCTGGGTATGCTGCCCATGAAGACACATATTGTCTCCCTGCCACCAAGCTTCTCGTTATAGGTCCACCCACCCAGAGACTATATCAGGAGACATAGGAATGAGAAGAATACTGAACACAACATTCGGCTGCAAGTAATGTACAATAGCATTTTCAAAAGCGTCTGGGAGGGCCTGCCCAGTGGCATAGCAGTTAAGTTCATGCGCTCTGCTTCAGGGGCCCGGGGTTCACTGGTTCGGATCCTCGGCATGGACCTACACACCACTTGTCAAGCCATGCTGTGGCAGCGTCCCATGTAACGTAGAGGAAGATGGGCATGGACGTTAGCTCAGGGCCAATCTTCCTCACAAAAAGAAAAAAAAAGTGTCCAGGAAATATATTTGTTTCATTGAAAACAAAGGAAATATAAGCTTAATTTTCTAAGTGAAATGGGCAAGTCAATTCATCTCTTTGGGCTTGAGCTTCCTATTTTAAAAACCAGGAGAATCAGGATAGAGGTTGTTTAAGATCTTTCAATATGACATTTCATTAGATGAAAGTGATTATTGGAGCATTCTTGGGGACCCTGAATGGCACAAAATTGGGGGCATGAAGGTGGAGGAGGAAGGAGGGTCAGACGCAATGTACTGTGCTGTTCTTGTGCATAGGATCTCTCCCAAAAGTTGTATGTCTATGGTTTTGTCTTTCAGGGATATTCTTTGTCACTATTCCCTTGCAACTGAACTTTCTTTCAGTTCAACCTTATTCTCAGCTTTGGCTTCCATTTTACCTGACACTTCCTGCATTAATTAAATTTTGCTGCGTAAGGAACCACCCCCAAAATGTCTTATTTAGCTCATGATTCTGTTGCTCATGTGGGCAGTTCTGGTCTGGCCCAGGTTGGCCCCACTCTGTTGGCCTCCCTCAGAAACCTGTGGTCTCTGTCAGGTTTGCTGGTGACTGGATGATCTAAGGTGAGTTCTCAAGTGTCAGTGGTGCTACTTGCGAATGCTGGCTATTCGCTGAGTGACAGAGGTGCCTGGGCAATGTGTGTCTCATCACTTAGGAGACTCACCGGGCTTCTTCACATGGTAGTCAAAGGGGTGTAAAGAATGGCAAGAGAGGGCAAATCCCAACATGCAAACACTCTCCAAGCTTCAGTTTGCATCATTTTTGTTATTTCTCATTGACCAAAGTATGTCATAAGGCCAAGCCCAGATTCTGTGAGGGAGGGGACTACATAAGAGTGTGGATATAGGAAAAGAAATTATTGTGGCCATTTTTGCAAATATCTACCACACCTCTCAACCTTGATTTCATCACGATGAAAATTATAATAATTATAGTATTAATTCACTAAACACTTTTATCTTCCTCAATTCTTAAAAAAACAACAATAACAAGAAGGGTAGTAGGCAGAATAATGCCCTCATCCCAAAGATATTTATG